ATATCAAAATTTTGATAGTAAAATATTTCTATTATTATGTTATTTTACTATAGTTGTTTTAAATTTGATCATTAATGAACTTAATAATTTTTTCTTTGGTTTACCACCTTAATTTTGAATAGATTTTCTCTTTAAATTAAGATAGGTTCTATGTAATGTAAGATTAAATTTTAATAACTAACAATAGTAACGAAAAAGGCATTTTAGAAAAGTGTGAACAAAACATGTTGATATGGCATACAATTAATAACTTTCTTAATCGATGTAAAAAGTTAAACGAGATGATCTTTGGGATGGAGGGAGTGTTTATTAACTAACAAAAATTCATATTTATATATATATATTTTCTCTAGTATCCTCATACATATTATATTATCTCATAGAACCCTTAAAAACTTGAAAAGAACTTAAAAATCTAATTAAAAAAGTAGGCTATTAAACATTTAGGGGTAACATTTGAACTTCTTACAAAATAAAAAGGTAGATCGAGAAGTTTTAAACTATAGGAACAAAAGTGGATTATTAATGAATTTATAGGGGCATAAATGAAGTTTCTCCTCTGATACTTTAGCCTAAAAAAAGAAGAAGAAGAAGAAGACGACGACGACGACAAATTATAAGACATGACAAGAGTTGTACTATACTCTGTCGTATACCAGATACTTATCAATGGAAGGAAATACTAAAGTAATTGAATCGCTATTAATGGGCCACAGGTGCTCTTCGTTGAAAGAGTAATGATAAACATACGGAAAAAAAATAAAAAATGTTGAGTGTCGAGTCTCGAGCTGATATTTTGTGCCAAATTTAGAAACCAGGCATTATTGCTGAGAAAAGATCAAATGGCCGGAAGTGGCCATGATGATGTAACCAATCATATCATCCCCATCTTACTTCATACGAAAGAAAAAAGATCCCATGATGATGTGTCTGTATATCAAGTTGAAAAAAGAAAAAAAAATGTTGTATTCTTGTAAAATAATCGAAAGGTGCAATGAATTTCAATAGCCTTAGGAGTAACCAAGAGCCAGTTGACAAACAAGTAACCCAAAAGTTAATCTGACAACGATTCCATGTTACTCTCCTTCAAGGGACACTTCCATGTTGGTACTTGGTATTTGCGACTGGTCCCATCCTTAATATTGGAGCTGTTTTAGTCCATTGGATGGTTCAACTGACCTTAAACTACATGAAAGAAGTAGTCATCTCCTATTTCAATTTTTTGTACTACTAATCAAGGTTTGAATATGTACGAAACCGTCTATTAGACTTCTACTCTCAACGCAGCTCGAAAGCGATAGAATTGAATACCAGCATCTTCTGTTCCAAAAAAAGTCCTGGCATCCCCTGTCTCAATCCATTCCCCTTTCTTTTTAATGATATTTATCGATTTATATCCACAAGATGGTAATTTGTTAATTAATGAAAGTAGACTTGTTAGTTAAATTCAGAATTCGATTTTTATAATCAATACTCGTACATTGGAAAGTGTTTTTTAACTATGATTAAAAAAAAATTAGTCTCGAAATATATAAAAGTTGACTAAAGAACACATTTATTATTGAATAAAAAAATATTTATCAATTTATTGTATTAAAAAAATATAAACTTTATACTTTTTAATTATATTAATATATTCTTTTAATATTAGATAAAAAATATATAAATTAAATTTTTATTAACCATATTAGTTCGTGTGATTCTTTCGATCAAAATTTTGTTAACATATTGATGTAGCAAAAATTTTTAATACATGTTATATTCTATTCTTTCATAAAAATATAAGACTTATCGTTGATTTTATATTTTTATATAAAAAATACAATTTAATTCTTCCTAAAATACTTAGTTTGCATCGCCTATATATGATCCATATTGTCATTGGATAGAGACAAATAATGGTATTATTTGCTTCGAGTGGCTCTAATTTATGCAGTCTTCCAAGTCATTCAAAGATGTGTGCATCCAAGACTCCACCATGTTGATGGCATCATGAGTGCGACTTTAACCATGTTATCTCTTCTTGTCTTCTTACACGTTTCATTGTCGGCATTTAATTAATTACTTTTTTTTTTTTTGTCAATTTAAGTTTTACTTTTTTATCTCAATTTAATTAGTGTTATCTTGATTAACGACATACGGCCGCGATCATCATTTTGTTTTAGACAATTATACATATAATTATGATAATCGTAAAGACTCTTGATGTTAATCCTTGAGTGACAGTATGGTTTTGATTTCCTGGGAAATAATTGGTTTAAAGATTGTTCAAACGTATCATTTATATTTTTAAATGTTTTCTTCAACTTAATTAATTCTATATTCGGATCTTGCATGTGGGAGCATTTTGATTGGAGTATGGAATTTATTTTAAATGTTTTCTTCAACTTAATTAATTCTATATTCGGATAATGCATGCATGTGGGAGCATTTTGATTGGGGTATAGAATCTCTTTCAAATGTTTTCCTCGACCCATGTTTCAATGGTACCTCGGTCAGATTCAGCATTTTACATGCCATCCACACACTTGTGCAAATGAGAATTGACTACAAAATTATAGGATAAAGTAGCTTTTAACCATTGCTATGTTTCAGATATGATAGAATATATAGAAAGTTATTTTACTTTAAAATTTTTTATTCTATTATGAATCCATCAAAATATATTGGATAAAAACAAATCATTTAGTTTTATGATTTTTTAACTAAAATTTTGAGTTTGATTAATTATTCATTATATTTTTTTATAATTGTTTTTGCTAAAAAAAAAAGACTTATTTTTGTTTATTTGATTCTTAACTAAAAACTTGTAATAATCAAAAAAGAAAATCTAAAAATTCATGAATTCTTAACTAAAACATTATTTTATAAATTATTTATAAACAAATCTAATAGAAATTCTTTGAAATATATATATATATACACTAAAATTTTATTTAAAATTAAAATTAATTGGATGACAATCTCTATAAAAATGATAAATTTAAAAAATAAATTATAAATTATAAAAATAATATAATCTAAAATATATCTTTATTTATAATATGAAAAATATCATATTTATTTATTTATTTCTCATCAAACGCCATTAGAAAACAAAAAAAACATTTGATATTTCAAAATATTCGCTTAAAAATCTTGAGAAAAAAAAAGGCCCAACTAAGGACTAGGCTTGCGCACCTAGGCCTAGATGACCAGGATTGTGTCCAGGTCTGGACAGTTAAAAAAGATAATTTCAATGACCTTTTCAATTTTCAACAAACTCTGTTTTGCTAGAAAAGCCACCTAACAGTTGACTTTTTTCATTTTCGAATTCCAAAATCAAATTCAACAATATATATATATATATATATATATATATATATATATATATATATATATATATATATTTGTCTAAAACACCTCAAAATCACATAAAATATCATTAAAAAAAAACTCATTTAGATCTTCAAAATCAATTTTAATACACATAAAAATTAAAATTCAAATAAAATAAAAAACTCAAAATATTTCTAAATCTCGATCCATGTCATCCTACTATTTTAAGCCTTGTGACTCATATAAACGGATTATATTCTTCAAAACAAACAAAATAATAATGATTTTGACGAACGAGATGATATGAATGGCCCTCGCTGTCCCTCTCTATTCCTTCTTCCTTCTCTCTCCATGTTTCTCTCTTCTATAATTATTCAAAACCAGATTGCAATACAAATGAAGTTTGGGATCGATTTTTTTTTGAAAAAATGAGGAACTAAAGTGAAAAAATGCCAAAAAAAAATAAAAATAAACAGTAGAATTAAGTGATAGTAAGTATTAAAATTGAGTGTTGAGGTAAGTGAAATGCACAAGAGAATGGACAATCAATAAGCATTCTCTTTTAGTATTGTAGCCAGTGAACAATAAAATTGAATGTTAATGAAAAGTAAATGAGCAATTTTTCTTTAGTGTTTAAGTTAATAGATAATTCTGGATGATGCTGCATATGTCTTTAAAAAGGCCATCCAAGATTTTGTCCATTCAATAGATCTGATTTTTTTTTTTTTAATGTCATTAAAAACTACGCAAAATGACATCCTACAAAATTATGTGATATATATATATATATATATATATATATATATATATATATATATTAACACCAGTCAATATAATAATAATAATAATAATACAATTAAAATAAAATGGGTGAGTAAACTTCACATCCGTCCCAATAAAACTGAAATCTAAATGGATACAGACACAGTTATGGTAAATACTATTGATTATCATCGTGTTCCCAACATTATGTGACAAATGTTAATATATATTTTTTATATTTCATATTAATATATTAAAATCATACAAACAAGTTCGAAAAAATATAAAATTGACGTTTTTTTTAGTTCAAATACATTTTTGAAAAACTTTTTAAACACAGTATAAATGCAATATTAAACACAATTTAACTCGGAGAGTGATGACAATTCTTCTTCCCCAAAAGTTCAAACCAAAGAAACCCAAATTTCATAAGGATAAATTTTAATCCCCTGCCAAACATAACCTAAGAAGAAAAGGAATTTAACAGAGGGTTGCTCCTTATTTCCTAGCTCAAAAGTCTATGGGCCTATTTCCTAGCTCAAAAGTCAATGGGCCTATTAATGAACCTAAGAAAACAAAACAAAACACATGCAATTTAGCATTTCTATTTCTGCAATTTTAGCGATGAATAGCATATAATAACATATTTGATGTAAGAAAATTATCTTAATTTAATCAAAATCAAAATCTAATTTTCATAATTTTTACTAATAATTAATCATAATTATTTTTTAATAATAATAGATTTAGACTGATTTAATTTACGAGACTAATCAATCAAATTTTAAATATATTCTGATGCTAACTTAATTTGAAAATAATGAATTTAATATTGCTGTGAAAATTGGTCCGATCATAACTCACTATTTGTAAGTAATAATACTAAATAAAAAAGTTGACATTTAAAAAAATTTCAGGAATTACCAAAATCTATCGATTCCTAATTCATCATTGTAGGCTTCCTTATTCTGCTCAAGGGCTTGGTCTCTACAAACGGGACAAGCTAATGAATATAACAGCAGCCACTTATCAATGCAGTCCCTATGGAACATGTGTTTACCCCTAGCCAAAACCTTTATGTAACCTCCATGAATGTACTCATCGAAGCATATGGCAGAGCTCTCATGCTCCAACGATGCAGAAGAACATAGAGGCAACGAATTCGACCCAACCGAAAACGTAGGAAGCGCAGCAATCTCATCACAATCAGGACTTTTAGCACTGTTATCTTTGTTCTCATCATCAGGAAAAAAGCACTTGACCAGCAATAAAACGATTAAACACAGCATAGTAATGGCGTCTCTGCAACTCCAACTCTAAAACTCCTTTAGGGTTTACTTGTAATAGAGAGAAAACAAATTCACGCTAATATTTCTTAGATATTTACAGAATAAGGAAACTCGTCGGTCCTTGATTACTTAGGGGAAAAAAAAACTAAATAAGAAATAGTAATTAGCTAGGTAGTTCCCGTTAAGTTAAGAGTTTTTTTCTTTCCGGTTTTCTGATGGTTTGGTTTCAGGAGTATATGCATGAATCCGTGGGTATTAGGGATATTGGCATATGCCAAGGCATGTTTCTTTCCATTTTTAATTTCACTGTATAGGGAAAAAAACACAGTTAGGATTTAATTGGCAAATATACCAAACTGGTGTAATTTTACAGCTCAAAAAGTCAAATTCAGAAAAGAGAAGTCATTCTTTGTGTTTGTGGTCTTCCAGCCAAAACCCAGTTCAATTCTTCATTCTACAGGTGATACTTAAAGGTTAATCAGAAGTAGCTAGAGGTATGGCTCACAACATAAAAATTACCTACTATCACTTGAATTGTTCAAATGCACCAATTGTGTTATTCACACTCAATTACTGACAGAATTGTTTGATAATAGATCTTAATCATCCTATCAGATTATCATAATTCACAAAGAAAAAAAAAAGTGTGGCAAGCATTTTTGCACATCCCCTTGGAGCTTGTCTTATTTCCTGCCTTCAATTCTTGGCAACGAAATAGATTCTTAACTTCTCACTGGTTGTAATGAATCCTGCCATTGCTGAAAGGAAATAATGTAAATGAACCTGTAACATCTGCCACCACATTAGGAGAATCTATCGTTGTTGTGTACTGCTTTAGCTGTAAGTTCTTTAGGAGACTGAAGAATGAAGAATGGCAGAATGAGGATAAGCAATATGGCAGAAAGGGAGAAACGGAAGTGAGGGAGGTAAGAAGAGAATAGAGAGAATAATACTGTTATATTTTTCATGCTAATGATTACATCTTTTCCAGGTTTTAAGGAGGCAAGGATGCTCCTAATGCTATATTATTTGGACAATAATACTCTTTCTGTTCTACTTCTTATTTGAACTACACCAGCATTTAAGTAAGCGACCGGCTTTTGGCTCTTAAGTCCTAACAAGACTCCACTTTCTTTTCAATGATTTGGTCTCTACAAACGGGACAACTTGAAGTTCTTGATGATAGCCAGTGATCAATACAGTCCTTGTGGAACATGTGCTTACACCTAGGCAAGACCCTTATGGACTCTCCATGGGCATAATCATCCAAGCAAATCGCACAGTTTCCATAAGAAAATGCGAAAGGAGAAGAAGATTCTGATGATGATGGTTGCGGCAACGCTGAGTTTGAGGTTGAGGGTAGTGTTTGTTCTCCAAAGACAGAAACTGGTAGGGCTACAAGTTCCTGGTGGGCTTGTGTATTAGGTTCACGGGAACATGAGTTGGATGTCGTAGGATTTTGCTGATTATTAGAAGACAAGTTGCCTAATGTAGTAGAAGAACACTTGCAGATGGAAACAAAAACGAGGACGACAAGAGCTAATATGACAACAGATGCAATGCAAATACCTACAGCTGATCCTCCTTGGTCTGCTTTTTCCTCCTGTGTTGGCAAATTACCATTCAACAGATGTTTACTAAGATGGTGAAACTGATCCATTATAATGGTGAAACCCTAATGGGTTGTTGGTGAATTTAGTATTCATGTCGATTGTTATTATATATTAGAAGACACAGAAGACGCGGCGGGCAAGAAATAAGGCTGCAGGATGAAGCTTCCATGCGGCTACCTGTAGGTTTCATATCTGACCAGAGTCATTATGAAATGCATTAACAAATCATTACGTTTTAAACTCTTCTGGCCCCTTCGGCTGTTTCCTTGTAATCTTAGCTGTAAGATTGATTTGAGACGTGGAAGATGTGAATTTGATGGCATATTTACCATACTTGCCAATCACGTATAAGGAAAATAATATACATTTGCTAGACAACGACTAGGAGGATGTTTCGCACCCACACGAGGTCCCAACAAAATCAACTATCAGGATATCATCAGAGAAGATTGTCCCTCCTAGACAACCTAGCCAAGTCCCTCTTAGACCTCCTAGTCAAGTCTTAGACAAGACATCCACAACTGAATCGGTACATTTACTTGGTTCATTCTTACAAACTTCACTTGAAGTTGAACCCCACATAATAACGTTCGGGTAGACCTGCTTGCCGGTCAACTCAAAGGTTACAACACTATACTCTTATGATAATTAGAAAGGTGGGGATAGAAATGGGGAATTTTGGATTTGTTTCCAGAATCCAAGGTTCTAGAGGCTCCAAGTTTTCACTTACCTATGGAAGGATCTTGAATTGAGAAAGATGAGAACCAATGCAAGTAACGAATTCAAGACTGGATTTAAGATCTAAAGATCAACAAATCAAAGCAAGAAATCAATCGAAATCTGTTTTACAAGAACAATTAAAATGAAATCAAGTTTAAAAGAACAATTTGATATTATGAATCTAAAATCTAGATTCTGAATACAAGAACAAGATTTGTGAATACAGAGAGAAAAATCAGAAGATATGCAGAAAGAGGAAATTCACACAGGAAATTGCTACTATACAGTTTTTCCTTTCTTCGTGTCGTTCCCTTTTATTCCTCATTCATCACACATGCACTAACAGTTTTAACTGACTGACTTCCCCTCCATCACTCTCACACGTGACACTCGCTCACTAACCATCTAACTGAATAACAGAGTATCAGTTATAATTGCCACGTGTGTTGATCAGCTGATGATGATTAACCCTTCACAGTTTTTGTCTGATTTGGACACATTACAACCTAGTAGCTGCTTCCTGCCTCTTTATGATGGGTTCATAATAGAAATATTGTCATAAGCACAACGGCTGGATTAATAATCTAATGCTTAAAGACAAATATTTGTATATCAGAACGTGCTCATTTTTGAATCATATTCATTATATGCAACGACATGCAGCATCTAACAGAGCAAAGGGCACCAATTTCACATGACACAACCAGCCGATGCAGAACATCCTCAGCTAGTGCAATTGCAGAGCTGCGGAAATGCAGAATTCCCTTTGATTGAATGAGGGACTGGAACAAAAAGATGAACTAGGAAGGAGAAATTTTACAAGAAATGCAAAAAAAGTTATTTACAGAATAAATCACAAGCAGTTATTTTTTCCGGGATTTTGAAGAAGCCCATTTGAAGTAGCCACAATTTGCTTCGGGATTGGATGCAGGTCCCTAAAAGACCAAAAAAAATAAAAAATAAAAAAATAAAATAAAAAGATAGAAAAGAAAAGAAAAATTCTTCAGAGAGTTCAAATTTTATCTGCAACAATCTGCACCCGGTAAAAAAGACCAGAGAAGTTGGTCAAACAGGTCATTTACAAGAATAGCTTCATTCCCTGCCTACTAAATGATTTTAATTCCAAAAAGCATTTGAATTGTATGCTATAACATAGTTATATGGATACGTATCATTGTTTGATTGGATGTGAAGAAGGATAGAGCGAATACCTCAGCTCGAGAGCAAACAAAAAATCTGCAGCCAAAAGTGGGCCCTGGTTTCTTTACTATCCGAGCAACACAGGGTTCCTTATGACCCTTGCAAACAGGAATACTATTCTGCATGAGTTGCTGAATCCTCTGCCACTCCAACAAAGCAACATTATTTTTCTCTCTCTCAAGCAAGCCATCGCTTCCCTCATCTTGATCCTGAGAGCCTGTACTTGGATTCAGTTCGCAATGCTTGGGACTGCTGCTTTTATCATCCAGTGCATGAAAATCATTCGAGTGATAGCTAGAGTTTGGTTCTGCCTGACTAGGCGAAGTATCAGTAGAGTTCTCAGCAACAGTGCTAAGGTTGGGACTCTTCTGGAAAAAAGATCTTAGGGAGAGCTGGGAACACCGACTTTTTCTTGCTTTTTTCTGGGTTCCTTCAGCATGCACCAACTTAGAATGCTGACTTTGCAGTATCATTGTGTTGTCCGGACGGTCCTGATTCTCATTAGTCAAATCCTTGGAATTCGCATCTGTTTTTGAAATGGCACCATCAAGGTCTTCAGTCAAAGAACAGGAGACACTTGTAGATGGGCAAAATATACTGCAGTCATTGAATGAACTTTTAATGCTTTGGCTGCAGGCCCTTCCACTAGCATCTCCATCTGAAGATGAGCTTGATATCCTGTAGGATGGCACTTGTGTAGCAGCCTGCCTTTTCATTAACAAGGTCACTGCACAAGGTTAAGGACTTGAGATTACTACATGGGCTAAACTGAAAGAGGAAAAAAAAAAAAAAGATGTAATAGATTTCTCAAAATAAACCAAAAAAAAAAAAAAAGAGAGAGAGAGAAAAGGATGTAATTGAAACTATTATTGAGAACAAAATTGTCATACCAAGAGTTTGCTGGACACCATGAATCATGGGAAGATATCTAGCAGATAAAGGCGGAGTGCTATGTTTGGGAATATCATGGATTTCTTCCAAACTCATATAAACCGGAGCATGATCTGAACCTTCCAATTTGATGCCCCACCCTCCTTTCCACCTGTGGGGCCAAGTAGAGAAAGTCATGGACTTTGCAGCTTGCACAGATATGCAGATAGACTCATCCATAGACACTTGAACAAGCATATATAGATAAAACACATGCACACGTGCACAGAGAGGTTGAGACAACAAAGAAAACTGAGAGGTTTCATGGCATTGCCACATTCAAGAATATAGCTGGATCCAATGATACCTAGTCGTATCTCCAGGTTTCCAGCGTTTATACTCCGTCAATATGTCACATTCCTTGACATGGCAGGACAAGAAGCTATGGCCTTGCAAGTCATGCTCTTGATGCAAGCATGGCCCAGCACAGAGTATATGGTCAATCCTACTCCCAAAATTAAATTGTTCGGCACCTGTGCTCGATGACCAGCATGTGTATGCTTCTCTTCTGTAGAACAATTCAGGGTGGAAGAACTAGGATTCAGTACTAAATTACTCCCAAATAAAAAGAAGCAATCATATAATGACATCATCATGATGCAAGGATTAAAAAAAAAAGCACAACTTTGAAAGATACTACTCAATGGAAACTTTAATGAATCAGAGGATACTCCACTAAAGAAACAAAACTAAGTAGCCACATGCAAATATAATGTGCAAGGATGTGAAGAATTATTAGTCCATGGAAAAAGGAGAAAAAAGTTAATGTAACACTCTATTATGAAGAGGTCAGTAAACATTGACAGTGAAAGGTACAGTTTTATATAAGAACTTCAAATTTCTGTTTGCTGTCCAAATATAACTCAAAATTCAAATCCACAATTAAAACTGTGCAAAATGCAAATCAAGTGAAGATTTTAAAACCTGTCAGGATGTTTTGCTCTGAAAACATCAACAAAAATCCCACCCGACTGCATTAGCATAGACCTGAACCATCTTCTGAATCTACAGAGAAGTGAATAGAAACATATTCAATGCTTGCCTTGACTGGTACCGTTTTATATATTTATACAAAGTTACAATAACTAAGACTGCTCCAAATAGTCATAGCATAATGGACTAGCACTGCTTAAAAGTTAGCTCACAGCTTACTCGTTCTTCTCAAAATCTGGATCTGCATCACACCGATCCATAACAGTAGGCGCAATATTGAGATCACCAACTACAAACACCCTCCTTCCCTCATGCAGAAGGTTCTCCCATCTTTTCTACAACAGAGATTACCAAAATCAATTAAAGCATATAGAACTCTTCACTCATCAGTGATAAACTATTCTACACTACCAAAATCAAGTACTCAAACTTAAACATGGAAAACTAGAAAGCAAAACACGAAAGATACTATAAGCCCCTTCATGTCACATCATGCATGAGCACCAATAACGATGGAAGAAACGAAGTCAATACCTGTAATATCTTAAAAAACTTCATCTTAAACTCAATTCTCTCTGTATCATCACCCGCCGCTCGAGGCCCATATAAGTTGAAAAGAACTATAGAGCATGAAATACGGAACATCAATTCCATCACAAACTCCACATCAAAATCGGAACTTTACCAAAAATTTGAAAGCTATGGAGATTAACTCCACCACATCAATAAACACCAAAGCGGTTAACCAAATTACCAACCAACAAATAACAAATGCAAAGTTTTACATCAAACGCACCGAAATGATCATGATCAGTAATGACACACCGACCCTCACCATCAACCTTGACAAGCTCAACTTCTTCAAACTCCTCAAGCCCTTCTTTTCTTTTACACCCATCAGCAAACCCAGTAAAACCCTCCTCCGCTGCAACCGGCAATGCCACTTCAGTACTCGTAAATGCAGACTTTACACGACAAAATGTTGCAACCCCTATAAAGAAAACACAAAATCATCACTAAGAAGGCAGGCATTTTAACTCAATTTTATTTTGTATTTCATTGAGGCAACTCATAGAACACCTTACCGGAGTACCCAGTACGGCCTTTATCATTAGTTCGCGTGCAAGAAAAAAGGACTCGTACCCATCAGCTATTACTAAATCTGATGTTAACTCTTGTCTTCTTAATTTTGTTTCCTGCACGTGAAATTGTATTGATTAAGATTATGAACACCGAAAAAAGAAAAAATGAGAGTTCATGGGATTTTGCGTACCTGAAAGCAAATGATGTCTGCATCGAAAGTGTTTAGGAGTTTTGAGAGAGACCCAAATTGTGAGACTCTTTGTCTTAGGCCATTAACGTTGTAAGTTACTATCTTTATTGTGTTTTCCATTGATAAATGAGAATGATCTTTGTTGCCTTTTTTGTGGTGGTTTTAAGGTTGCAGGTGAATCATGAATGGAAAGAAAATATGCCAACTACAAGTCGCTTGCTTGCCTATGACGATGAAGGTGGTTTTGATTAGTTTTTCAAATTTAGGATGAACTTTGCAATTTCACCAATTAGCTAATAGTGATGAGCAATCAAGTGTCAAGTTATAATAATAATAATAATAATAATAATTTTCTTATTATTATATGTGTGTGTTGTCAAAATATTTTTATGTTATATAAGATTTAAAAGACAAAAAGTTTCGTTTTGTAGTTTTTTATTTTTTATTTTCAAATGGCTTTTATAACATCTTTTAGTAGAATTTATCATAATTTGAAATCAATTTGTAATTTGCCTAAAAAATTCCAGGTGTAATGAATTCACAATTCACCAACGATCTTATTAGCTCATCATTTTTATTTTGTTTTAGTGGTGGTCTATGTTTTGATAGCTTTTAGTGTGGATAATTTTGAGGTATGTGTTTAAAATTGTTTAAAGAAAAAATTAATTTCGATTAATGTATAAATTAATTTGAAAATATCTTTATTATAAAAAAAAGTATTGTTATAATAAATTGATCTATAATATATGCTATTAAAATATTCTTTTATGTTAAATAATACACAAAAACTCAAACAAATAAAAAAAAATTGTAGCTTTGATTTTTGAATTTTAAACAATTTTTTTTGAAAAAAAGGTTTCACAAAACAAAACCAAAAGCATTGTTTTTGCAAATTGTTTAATGAATCTTAAATTGGTTATCCATATCCAAACTAATAGAATTTCTTTATATAATTTTTTTATATATAAAAAGCAAACTTATTTATAATTCAACTTATGAATTATTTTTTTACAGCATTTCTTTTCATTCTTTATATATATATATATATATATATATATATATATACATATAAGAAAACTTATTTATAATTCAACTTATGAATTATTATTTTTCAGCATTTCTTTTCATTCTTTCTAAAAAAATTATATATAAAAAGCAAACTTATTTATAATTCAACTTATGAATTTTTTTAAAGCTTTTTTCATTTAATTAAAGGTCCAATGGATCTTGAGTTGACATAATGTACTAGTCCTTTTCTATTATATAATTATGATTGAAAAACCTCAAGTCATCGATCATAGTATATTACAATTTTAAAGTGATAGTGTTGAAATTTAATAAAAGATCTAACGGATTTGAGTTAAATAATAAAAGTAAAAATTATCATCATTAAAACTAGAATTTTATTTCATTAAAAAATATTATTATTACTAAATATACAAGAGCTAAATTAAGTTGCATGCAGCCTTTCTTTTCATCGGAAACAAAAGAATAACATATGAAGCAAATCATTTTCAGGATGTGAAAATATCTGAAGAATTAGGTCATCACTTTATTATTGAAGTAAATATTTAACTCTACGACATGTCTTGTAATATGGTAAGCGTGGACCGCACAAGTCATTTGATTATGTCTTGTCTCTATCTGAAACAAAATCGACTTTCCGTTCCATATAATGAACAAAACACAGAGGAATCAGGAATGTGCAGCCACATGACGTTAGTGGCTCGTGGAAAGCACAAGTCCTTGTTTCTGTTGATGGTAAAGGTGGTGGCAAACTTTGTCAGCTATCTCAAATCTCAGATCAAGCCTTTTTTAACCAAAAACTGAGCCCCTTTAATCACTTTTGTTTGTTTTGATTAGCTCTAGACAAAGAGCAAGATTTTAGGTGAAAAATGGATCAGTGGAAGACAAGAAATGATTACTCTCAATCTTTTGTAGCAGCAACAACTAGTATGGTTCCTTCAAGTTCACTTCATTCTTTGCCACCTTCCTCTTCTAGTTGTCTTCAGAACTCAACTCTTGAACCCAGGTTTTCTTTCTTTCTTTTTTTCTTTTTTGTAATCGAATCTAGGGTTAATATGACCAATTCTATTTGTTGATATTGTTAACCAGTTTTGAGTTTTGCTTGCTTTGGTTAACGTTTGTTTCTTTTTGAGGTCTTTTGAACTATATATTTGGTTAGACTTCATTTCGTGCACAGTAATTTAGCATGATATTGTTTATTGTGATTGGAACTTATTGAGTTTGAATTGGGTTTGTAAGTTTTTGATATTGAAATGCAGATTTGATTAAAGTTTCTATCTTTCTTGAGGTTTTGTTTTATGGGGTACGCTTTTTTTGCAGGCAGAGGCAGGAGGTAGCAGTGAAAGATCCAATAGCTATTGCAAGAAAAGTTCAAAAGGCAGACCGTGAAAAATTGAGGAGGGATAACCTTAATGAACAGTTTCTTGAATTGGGTAACACACTAGGTAATCACTAGCTTCTATTCTTAGTTATTAATACACTTCACACACGCATATACTCCTCGTGTGCTGCCAATTGATTATGTTGCCTCCCACTGTCTCAGTTGAGAAAACAAATGATAAATGGATGCTTATAATGCTAATCATCATGCATTTTTTCCAATGGATGTACATGACTTGGAGCGTCTTTATTGATTTAATGGTTGATCTTTTGCATGAACTCGAACTGTGTACTTGACTCATTATTGAATTACTGGACTTCTAGTTCTGATTATATTCAAATGATTTACTTAATATTGCACTTTGCACTATTTGATTTCTTACTTTAGATGGATGTGTCTGTGTTAGGATGCTAGCTTGCTTGTCAATGCATCCACGCCATAAGCTGGTTGCCTTTTTGAGAAATTATTGGCTCTGCAAACAAATGTGAATAAATTGGATAATTTCATTATTCATGAGCTATAAATGCACTCTTCATTTTTAGGGAGAATGTGAAAGTGATTGATTTTTAACTAATTGCTTGTTACTTACATTTGCATACAGACCCAGATAGGCCGAAGAATGACAAGGGAACCATTTTGACAGACACGGTTCAAGTGCTGAAGGATCTAACAGCTGAAGTGAACAGACTAAAGGCTGAGTATGCGACACTTTCAGAAGAATCACGTGAGGTGGTTATTTCTTTTTGTTTGTTACTCATGGTTGTTATTCTTTATGCTTGTATGATTGCTCATGTAATTGAGCTCCAAGAAAAATGAGCTAATGCAGGCTTGATGTGAATATTACTTTTGCAGCTAATGCAGGAAAAGAATGAGCTCAGAGAAGAAAAGGCATCTTTGAAAGCTGATATTGAAAATTTAAATGCCCAGTATCATCAAAGGGCAAGGGCTATGTTCCCATGGGCTGCTGTTGATCGTTCTGCTGTAATGCCTCCACCTTATTCATATACAGTTCCGGTACCTGTCCCTCCAGGCCCAATTCCCATGCATCCTTCATTGCAGCCATTTGTCTTCTTTGGAAATCAGAATCCTGGTGCCATTGCAAGTACTTGTTCAACATTTATTCCATACCCAACTCCTGCTAATCATCCAAATGATCAGCCACCTGCTCAGCATGCTTCTGATTCCCATTTTTCAAGCAAACAGGATTCTAGAAGCAAGTCAACTGATCATCACAGGGGCAGAAATAAGGAAAGATGTGATGATTCTAACGATGTCGCAACTGACCTTGAACTTAAAATGCCTGGATCATCATCACAACAGGTCTGCTCTAAAGTTGTTAGTCACAAATGCTTAGCACACGAAGACACAAAACTGACTTGAAAGATTTGTGCAGGATATATTGACTGGAGAAAAGAAAGGCAAGCAGTGTCAAAGGAAGGAAAGAAATATTACAAATGGTAGCTCCTTGTGTACGTACTCATCAGCTCAAGTTCTTCAAGGCAGCTCCTCTAACAGCGTGGGGGATGTCCCAAAACCTACTAACTGAGGTTTCCAGTTGTTTGTGCCTTTGATGCTTTCCAAGTACCCGACTGTTAAGATGCATGTGTTTCTCATGACCCTCGGATGATAATGTCCTTAATTTGAGCTTTAGCCTGACAAGCATGAAATCATTTCTAACAGCTTCAGCGTGGAAGTAGCAATGTTTAATAGTTGTCGTGGAACTATGGGGTAATCCCTTGATTGCCTCCGGTAACAGGAGCTGGAAGAGGGTGCACCCTACGCTTTTCTACTCAATCAACATATCAGAGCACGGATTTGGTTCTTGACTGACTCACATAAAGCTTCAGATTTGTCTGCTAGTTTCCTTTTAGGTGGAAAAAACTTTGTAAATTATCACTGCAAAATGCCTGATACCAATTGGTCAACCAGTTTAGATGTAAACATCCCTTTGTTTTTACCCTTCTTATGTAGCATCGCTGCCTTTCACATATGAAATAATCTGTTGTCTTGTTGGTTTCCACGAAGGGAATGAGAAGGCTCCGTAAAACACAACTCTTAATGGATTCTATGTTAGAACTACTTGAGTTTGGCGATGTTGTTAGAGCCATTTCCTCTGAAATTTATCATGCAGGCAGTATGTATAGAGGCTCGTAGGTCGTTGCAATATTTTAAAAGGGAATGACAATTCCCCCTTACCTGTCTTTCATCTTCACCTAATAATTTAAACATTTTGTAAAAAATGATTCTTTAATATGGATATCGTTTATGTCTTCCACATAATAGTCAAGATCTTAGATCCTGAAAACTCCACTTTCAACGAGGAAACATGTTGGAAATACTTTCACCGGCTTCAAGCTTTTAGACTATATTATGAAGTGCAACAAATCTAGCAAGACGTATCATGCGTGGATTTATTCATTCCTTTGTCAGTTTCAAACTTCCAATAAGCACTTTTAACTACAAGCACTGATACTCTAATCAACAGTGATAAGCACAAATTGCCAAATGAGAAGAGCACAAAACCCAAAACAACGGAACCATAGAAAAGAAAACTTTCAAGAACAGAAGATGAATACACGAATGCACACTAAATTCCGAAACACCAACCTTTCATTGATACCTTATGTGCACTATACATTACAATTTGAAGGGCACCGGCAAGGAGGTCCCCACACAAAAGAATGTACACTGGTATAACGTACATGGAGTCATCCTGTGAGCTCCAACTCTATAACCAACACCTCTCTGTTCAACGCACCACATCTTTTAATATACACAAGTTATACGAGGAATTCTACTATTAAAGACCTGAGTTTCAGAAAGAGGTGAGCCATGTAGGACAGTTATTGAGAAACTGGCGTAGTGTAATCTAGAAGGGCAGCTTCTGCAAAAAAGGAGCTCCATTTCTCTAACTTGCTCACTAGTCTCAATCTTTAAAAGTGCAATTCTTATCTATATTTTTCGAGAATTCCGATGACCAGATGGGCTTGGCACACTTCGTGAATGAATGCTAGCAGTTCTTAGAAGTCTGCGGAATTCTGAAAGGCTTATTTTACCATCCTTGTCAATGTCAGCCTCCTCAAGAATTGGGTTAATGGAACCTCTCAAGCCCGTGTGCTGCAATGCAAAAAAAAAAAAAAAAAAAATCAACTTGAGTAGTTGTGCTGGTATCTACTTTTAAGTAGAAAGCTGAAACACAAAAGTTATGCTTGTCACAACAATCCGACCCTCATCCTTTAGCTAGCACAAAGTGAACTAGGAGCTCCTATTTATGATCTGGGATTTCCTAGAGGTGAAATGCTAGTCATAAAAATGAACAAAGAGACTTTGGCGTGGCACAGTAAGCACATGTCAAAAAGTGTGTTACAACAAACTGAAGAAAAGGATGAATGCATGGACTAATAACATCAGGCATTATTTAATAGCTAGCACCAAATAAATTCTCTGCCAAAACTAAATGAAACTACTTCAACAGCTAGAAAGTTCTTTTAGGCAATCAAAGGAATACTTAGCTTAATTTTGTCAATGGAACTACAACCACATTTTTCAAAACACACACTGACAGACCACTTCGTCAGCTTAACAGGTTAAGCAAGAACAAAAACTTAAAATAAAATGAAGTATAAGAGCCTTTACTCAGCTATCATGTGCATTCTTTTATTCATTTCTTTTTCAGTTTTAGGTGAGGAAAGGATATATCATGTGGCAGGATAGTTAATGCAAAGAAACATCACTGACCATTCTAAGTTCTTCTGGAGTTATATATCCATCTCTATCAATATCAAATTTCTCAAAAGCAGCCTGTGAACGCAGCTGCCACTTCTCAGAGTTGTGTTCCTCCAATTGATGGACATGCAGAGCAGCTGCAACAAATTCGGGGAAATCTACAAGTCCATCTGTGTTACTGTCAATCTGCATAAAACAAGTAAATAAATCCATCAAATTCCAAAACAAGCAAAACTAATGAACCAGAAAAAAGATTTTTGGGTGGACAAGAGAGGGGGTGAAAGAGCAAAGATTAGATGAGAGAAAAAGAAAAATGAGAAAAGAGATATGCAATAGAGAAACAAAGGACACAGTTCTTCAATATAACACCAAAAGGCACTCCAAAACACAAATAATAGGTGCTTCATGTATAAGCACCAAAGAAATCTTAAGAGTCTAAGGAAACGATTTAAATAAAATAAATAGCTAATATCTAATGCATTATCTTTATAATATAAATATGGGAATATCTAAAACGTTAGTGGATCCTCCATCAAAAGCAGAATTCAGAAGCAATACGAAAGAAGGGTGAGGTAATGCCATATTGGTTAACATGACAAACAAAAACCAGAAAAGGAAGAAACACTAGAAAAATGACCACTAGAAGAAAATGTTCATCAGAATTATGTAAAAGAACATTATGATAACTAAGCCTGGTTGCATGAGATACTAGCCAAGCAAGGAATCAGTGGTTGCCAAGTTGGAGGAGTATCCCACACCCCTCTCTTAAAAGCCAAAGTTCCATAGACAGGAGATATGTTGGTCACTAAAAAGACAAATGCATGTTACCTTACTCATTTCATACAACAGAAAACATAGAGATGACTAATATGGGGAAAATAAGAAGGCTTCCACCAACAAATTCAAGGCTGAACATCTTTTTTTATTTTGGAGTTGAGGAAATATTTAGATGAAACAAAATTCATGCTTACCGCTTGAACAATTTCTAAGACACGTGATTCTTTCAACTTCCACGGAAGATCTTTAGCAAGGGCCTGCATTGAAACCATCATCATCACAACAAAATACATAAACCATATACAGGTAAAGGCATCTCATTGAGATAAGAATGCATAGAATGAAATTCCTGTTTTCAATAGCAAGGAAAACACAGCAGTTTTGATAAAAAGGAAACTACCTGTCTCATTTCTTCAAGACTGATAGCACCATTTTTATCCACATCAATGGCATCAAATTGATCCTTAAGATCAGCTAGTTCCTCTTCATCAATTGTGCTTGCCAATGCCTGCAAAATATCAATCAATTCATAAAATTTAGAAAAATATGAAAGCAACCATCTTTTTCCTTGGAGTAATCCTACAAAAAGAAAGCTTGTTTTACCCTTAGAGCAAACTGCTTCAAACGGCTGTACTTCACAAATTGTCGCATGTTATTCAGGACAGATATGTCAATAGGGATCTCAGATGCATCTCCTCCTTCTCTGACCCATGGATGTGCTGGAAAAGTTGAAAAACGAAGAAGTTAAACTCTTTAAGCGAGAAGAAAAGACGGAAGGTTGCTTTTAGACCCAAACAACACATGCATCTGATTCTAATAGATCGTAACAATCAGGCATTTATTTCATCAATGGAAAACTAATTTGACACATACATAGAGCTTGAGCAGCAGTAAGTCTTGCCCGAGGATCCTTCACCAGTAACTTCTTCACAAAATCTTTTGCACTAGAGCTAATGGTTGGCCATGGTTTACGGCGAAAATCAGGCTTGTTTTTTAAAACCTGCATACGTTCAATCTTAGAATTGTGAAGAACAAACTAATATTAACAATGCAAAAGAGAAAAATATCCACACATGGAGATTAGATAAAGTGAGAGTCAAAAAGCGGCCCCTATACAAGAAAAGAGGTTTAGTTAGAACCCATTAGGAAAAGAATATGATTATTCAAAAAACTGTGATAACCACACAGTGGAGGATGGGACAGACTAGGATTAAAAGTAATTCACTCCATGGAAAAAAAGGTAGATGTTGCAGGAGGAAGGTGATCAACATGTAAACAACAACAACAACAACCAAGCCTCAGTCCCAAACAAGTCAGGGTTTAGCTATATGGATCCTTTGCACCATTCCACACAGTCATATACCGAATCCATCTCAATATCGAGTATTGACTGTAAGCAACATTGTCCAAAAATGAATATATCAGAAACTAAATGCTCTTCTAAATCCATTGTGTCTAATTGCAATGACTAATACCAGAGACAGGTAGGAATCAGGAACAAAAAAAAACTTATCCAGAGTTAAAATTGTACCGCACCTCCTTAAATATACCATCCTCAGTCTTATCCCAAAATGGACGCCTCCCACATAGCAAAATGTATGTAATCACACCAATACTCCAGACATCTGATTCAGGTCCAGACTTGCGTTTTAATACTTCAGGTGCAACATAGTAAGCGCTGCCAACAATATCTTGAAACTTCCTGCCTGCATTACATTCGATCATATAATATAAATTATCTATGGGATACAAAACAAATGCTAGAAAAAATGATAGCAAGAGGTTGGCAAGAGTACTCAGTCTCATAGGTAAAAGTAAAAATAAAATGAAGATAAAGCCTTTTGGATTCAGATTGGTCTGGTCAGCCCACGTAACTCAAATTATGAAAGTTCTCCCATAGTAAGTTTGGTAAGTTTTTTTCTTCTTTCCTTTTTTCTCTTTTTGTAAACATCATGCATATAAGCATAAGTAAGATCGTTGCATGATGAAAATATGACTCACCTGGTTTTATGAAGTCTGACAAACCAAAATCTGTAGCTTTCAGAGAACAGTCCTCCTTGGTTGACTTGAAAAGAAAATTCTACAGGCAAGAAATAAAAGGGAATCATTCTCAAGAAGCATGATTCTACACATAAGCAATGTATGCCATCCATTCCGATACAATTGGTTATACCTCAGGCTTCATGTCGCGGTGCACCAAGCCATGCAAATGACATTCAGCTGCAACTTTGAGCATCTGTCGCACTACTACAGCTGCATCTTTCTCAGTATAACGACTGTCCTTCCTGATTCAGGAAAATCAAGCAGTTGTAAGCTGAACAGTGCGAAAAATGGTTCAAATGAAGATGGTCATTTTTTAGATACAATGAGTGCATTATTTTCACATAAATTTAACCAGAAAAGAAAAAACATATTACAGAACAGAAACAAAGATTTCTTACTTTGCCAATATCCGATCTAGCAATTCTCCACCCTCACATAACCTAATAAGGGACAATATAAAACATGGACAAGATTAAAGAAAGAAAATTGAGAGCATTGCAAGTGAAAATTAATAGTAAATTCAAAGAAAAAAATATTATGATGGACACAATAAGCACAAATGGGAGGAGATATAATTACAGAAGCAACACAGTAAAATGCAAACGGTATAATCAGAAAGATCCATGAACATGAAACTTACTCCATAACAATATATACATAAGAATCATCCTCAAATGCGTTATGAAACTGAACTACATTCTCGTGGCCTGTAAGTTCCTCCAATATCTTGACCTCTCGTTTAACATCCTCTACAGCAATAGGAAGAACCATCTACCAGCAAAGCCAAATAATAATTTTACATAAGCAAGAGGTACTCAATATACTGAAAGGAAAACTTTCTTTAAGAGATGAAAATGGTAGTAACTATTCGATCTTAAAGCTTTCAAGCTTTTGGTGGTCTCATAATTATTTAGTCTAACTTGAAACAATAATGGCTAAAAAATTCATTTAACCTAACTGGAGAAGGCAACAAAACATTACCGTTCACCTAGTAAGTTGGGAGGAGAAAATTAAGATGATAGAATGGAACAGAGCTCCAAAGAACACAATTGTGGCTTTCCATTTGAAAATCATTAATGAAAAACACTTTATGGAGAAGGATAAGAAGTAATAAGGACATTCTTATCCACCTATTTTGGGATATAAAATATACATTTCTGCTTTCTTTAATAGGAAAAGAGAGAATAGATTCTGCCTAATCTAAAACTAGTGATTCACAATTTAATGGATATTCTTAAACCTGCACTCTCCAACCAAAATTGGGAAGACACCAAAATTTCACCATCTGATGGCCTTTGATTGTCATACTATAATCCTTCACCGGTTAAAAATAAACACTGGAAACAGCAAATGCAACAAAAGCTCATCCTTGGCAAAACAATGCTATGCATTCGCGAAAACAAAACTTGCAACAATTGCATACTGATATAACTGTTCAATCAAACTTTAGCCCATCAAACCAGTCAAAACCAGGTTAATCCGAGTATCGCTAGAAAGTAATTGTCCTGACACCTAACATGATAACATCCCTAGGTTGCAAATATGTGATCCGACAAGTCAACGAACATTCTGTGAAGATAATTCCCCTATGCAACAATTTCTGACACACTAAAAAGATTGGAAAAAGATAAGAGAAAATGGTGATTTATGAACAGAAGGAAAAGGAGTGGGACTTGGTAGACCCTAGATTTTCAAGTAAAGAGAAGTCATTATTCTAAACAGAAATTAACAAAATGAGAACCTATCTATAACAAAAAGCAAAAACCCCTTTTAAGGATCTTCTCAGAATCTTCAACAGTATCAATAAAACCAACATTAACATTAACAACAATCACAAAAAAAAAAAAAAAAAAAAAAACCTTGATTTTTGTCCTCCAAGAACCAAAACAGAACCCCAATTCACAAACTAATAAAAGAAACCAGAAGCAATACCTTATTTTTCTCAATTCTCTTGACAGCAACCCGATCTCCATTAGCCTTATCAGTAGCAACATATGTATAACCAAATTGACCATGACCCAATAATTTTCCAATTGCATATCTCATATCAAAATCTTTATGATAACCAAAATCTGTTCTTTTCCCACAAGGGATCGCCTTGCTACTTTGCTTCTCTTTGACCTTTAGCTTCTTTTCTGCCTCATTGTTAACATTCTTATTGTTCTGATGATGTTGCACAACTTCTTTCTTGTTTCTTGTTGCCGCTGTTGTTTTTTTTGTCCTTGTTTGTGGCTTTGTGGGTTCCTTTCTGTTGTGATTAACGTTGGTGTTGTTGTTGTTGCTGTTAGAGCCACTAACTTTTATCGTAGAAAAACAAGCACCCATGATTTTTGTATTGAATTTTAGTTTAGTTTGTCAGCAAAGTTTGAGACTTTATTGAGAGAGATCATAGGAAATGCGAAAACAAATAGTGGGTTTGGGAAATGATCGATGTAAATGCAAATTTTTAAGGAGAGAGGAAAGAGAAGGTAGGAGGAAGAAGAGAAGAAAGAGAGAGGGGGTGGTGGTGGTGATGGAGGTGGTGGTGGTCAAAAGAGACTTTTTCATTTTTTAATTTTATTATTATTTATTTTTCTTAGAAACAATAAAAGAGAGAAAGCAAACTGTTTGTTTTGTTTTTCTTTTTCATCATTTTATGGACGAAAAGGGTGAAAAGAAAGAAAGAAAGAAACTGTTTTTTGAAATTCTGCTATTTTGTTAAAGAAGATATATTGTCAAATATGTAGTTACTACTAGTAATCGATAAAGTTAAGGATGGTGATCGTTTTTTTTTTTCTGGTTATTTATATTTCATGAACTAGTAATAAGAAATTCAATAGGTGGGTCTAGCTTGAATTTGCTTTTATTTTCTATTTTTTTTAAAAAAAACATAGGTTTACTTATTTATTAATTTATTTGCAATACGTGCACTAAAAATCCTATATTACACAATATATCTAAAATAACAATTTACATAAGTTTCTCCACAAAAATATAAATAATTTATCTTGATTATTTTAGTTTTATTCAATTGTTACTCTCATTTCAGTATTGGTTTTAATGTTGTAAATATATATATATATATAACATGCAATAAGAGGTCATGAGTTCAAATCCTAACATATTAACTTAAGACTCAAAAATCATATTTATATTAATCATACATCTAATTTACTGATTGTAGATTTTAATACAAGTTCATTAAGCATAATAAAATTATCAAACATATCGCAATAACATGATTTTATTTCTAAATCACATTATCAAAATCTGATGCTTTTGTAACTTTAATTTTCGTTTTATCTAATTCTTTAAACACGTAAATAATGACCAGTCACTTAAAAAAATAAAAACCTAAAATATCAAATTGCATTAACAGAATCATGCATACAATCACATGCTTAAATCATCATCAGAAATTTAGCAACTACATCCTAATCTTAGAATAATGAAACTAGTAATTCATAGATAACAAACTACATGAATAGAACATTAAGAATTCAAAACAAATACTCAAACCAAAAAATATGAAAATGAATAGACAAATGGTAAGAAAAAAAAACTTGCAAGAAGCCAAAATCTTCAAGTCTTTAGAATTGTTTTCCTTCGGCTTTTCGATTGTCGCTTCTGTCCACTTACTAATCTCATGTGAAGACCCTCTCTCTTTTCTTTTTCTTTTTTCTGATAAAATAGGCTCTTTTCTGAAGATCATAAATTCCTAGTAATTTTTTTCGAGCCGTTATCTTTCTACTCCTAATTTGTAGTTGATGTGAATTTTACAATTGTAACTAATATATGTATATACTTTTATCGGCAGAATTAACATCTCTAGGATTTTTAAAAATTAAATATATTGACTAAATATTATAAATGACATTTAAAGTATAGATTATAAATACTTTTAATCAATATACATCTATAGTGTCTTTTAAAATTTCTACACTTTATAATTTGGTATAGTTTATTTTTACTATAAAAAATAATAATAGAAAAATCCCTTTTTAAAAAAAAAATAATTTTACAATTGAATGAAGTCAAAACTATTTCATTAGACGCTATAAATATCTTTCGACTATTATGATATATAATGTATGTTACCACGAAGAAGACAAGTATAATTGTTGTTATACACATAATAATATTTATAACTTTAACAATAGAAAAGTACCTGTAATATTACCTCGATATAAGTAACTTAAACTCGGTTTACACCGATAACACTAATAAGATATAAACATTAAAATTTAAGGAACAATTGGTTAATTCACATTAACCGTATATATAGTTATCTACAAATACAAAAGCTAAATTACTTTTCAAAATGTAATTCTTGCTTCATTAAATGTAAAATAGCAGTTTACATTCACTATAGTAAAATTATCCCAAATTGAAAGAGTAGCTACAAATTTAAAAATATATAAACTAACTATTATTTGTGTATAGTAATATGTCCAATAAATTTTTTTGTTATACACCTAATGTAACAATTTACATATATTTTGCAAGAAAAAAATAAAAACAATTTGTTTTAATTACTTTAATTTTACGCCATTGTTGCCTTTAATTTAACATTAATTTTGGTTTTGTGAGTATTAATTGAAATAAAAATTTATATTAATCTATTTTTTTATATTGCATGTTATCATCTTCTCTAAAATAATTTATATACGTGTAATTGAGTATTGAAATATAGTACAACGATTTTTTTTAAAAAAAAAGACAAGAAAAAAGATTTTACAAGTATCGTTAAGTATTCGTTTTGTTTATATAGTATAACAATTGAGCATTAGAAAGTGCTACAAATACCTATTGATTTTATAAATAACTAAACGCCAAACTTCTAAACCCTAGAGCATCTTTTAAGAAAATTAATGCCTATCAATATCAGTTCTTTGATGGCTACTCTAGTTCAAATCTATTATTCACATTCTCTTCCAATTGAGAAATAGTAAATTATTTGATCAGACATCGTTTGCTTTTTATTTGCTTCTTTATGGGCATTTATTGTGAGATAATGTAAATTAGGTAGATATGCTTTGTATATGAAAATTAGATAGAAAGATATAAGCTTGAAATTTCATACGACACTCACAAAAAAGAAAAGAATTTCGAAACACAATATTTATATCAAATCGACAAATTCAACTCTATACATGTCAGTTAAATAACTTGACCCAACTGCTTTTAACTATTGACAAACATTAAAAAACTAGGTTTACACAGGAGAGTAGATTTATTGAATGAGAAGTCTAAATGAAAGTTATGTTTCTTCTCTTTCTATTGTCCTAAAATCTTCAATATGGAAGGTGAAGTTGTCGGAGAGTCACCTAAGTGTCCAATATCAGTTTTTCTTTTTTTTTTTTTTTGAGAAAATGTTTTCTTAAAAAAAAAATTACGATATGGCATTTTAGTAAAAATTGTGACATTAGAATAATATTTTTTGCATAGCAATTTTTAGATGTTTGTTAAGAATTGAGGGTAATTAGATTTTGCGTTGTCTAGATATAATGAACACAAGGTTGAATTTGTCAAATTATTTACATACGGTTTAATTTATCAAATTAATGTAAACACACCAAATAACTTACAACCTAGTGGTAGTGATCTTTTGCAATAAAAGATCATGAGTTTAAATCATAACATATTAGTTTTGTTATGAGTTTTAGGTGTGTGAGTTAAAAAATTAATGGAGTTTTTTCTCTTAGATTTTTGGATTTTTTTTATTCTCACAATAATATTGAATATTTTTTATTTATCTTAACCATATAATTATTGATTGATACGTCTACAGTTAAATCCTATGTGACACAATATATCTAAAATAACAATTTACATAAGTTTCTCTCGCAAAAATATAAATAATTTATCTTGATTACTTTAGTTTTATTCAACTCGTTACTCTTATTTCAATATTGGTTTTGATGTTGCAAATATATATATATATATATATAACATACAATAAGAGATCATGAGTTCAAATCCTAACAGATTAGTTTTGTTATGAGTCTTGAGTATATATATATATATATATATATATATATATATATATATATATATATATATATATATATATAACATACAATAAGAGATCATGAGTTCAAATCCTAACAGATTAGTTTTGTTATGAGTCTTGAGTATGTGAGTTGAGAAATTAATGGAGTTTTTTCTCTTAGATTTTTGGATTTTTTTTTTATTGTTGCAATAATATTGAATATTTTTTATTTATCTTAACCATATAATTATCGATTGATATGTATACAATTAAATCCTATGTTACACAATATATCTAAAATAACAATTTGCATAAGTTTCACTACAAAAAATATAAATAATTTATTTTGATTACTTTAGTTTTATTCAATGGTTACTCTCATTTCGGTATTGGTTTTGATGTTTGCAAAAAAAAAATATATATAGCATAATTGATGAACTTAAAAAGACATTGTAAGTATCAATTGATTTTATAAATACAAATTCTTCAAATCTATATCAAGATATTTATGAAGATTGGTGAAGGACGAATTTATTATGAAAGTACTATTTTCAACTCGTAGATGATTTATTTAAGATCCAATCTAGAAAGGACTTTATTCTCTTCACTTGGAAACCGATATGATAATATTCTTATTGCCGAAGGAACTGGTGAAGAAAAAAATAACTTACTAATTTTGATATTTTGAATGTTTCTTGTGTTCAAACCCTTAAGTATGAGGTAGAATACATGCATTTTATAAAAACAAGCAACCATTTCTATTTAAAATAAATAAATAAATAAATAACTATTTTTTTAACAATAAGAGTGTTTTCAAACTAATTTTTATGTATTTTGAGATTAATCTTTCTTTGAGTGTAGTTAAAGAGCATTTCATAACACACGAGTTTTCGATATTTTGAAAATAAATTTTCAAAAACGTTATTCTCAAAAATCAAATTCTAGACACTGATCTTTAAGTCAATAATTATTTATTAGCGAGCTAACACTTTTTGGTTCAAAAAAATTGTATTCATACGTAAGCATTGTAAGGCCCAATGTAGCCTTATTTGATAGAAGTAACAATTAACTTTTACATAGCACAATAGTATTTTAGAATCTTCAACGTTAGCAATCTAGAGAAAGAGTTGTTCGGGGGATGTTAATGCTTAATATCACTACTTGCTTCTATGACCTTTCAAAACGCGGCCGGACTTTTCAGCTTAATTAATTTCTAGTCACCAACACGGGAATTTTACTATGTCTACGACGTCTTCAAACCCTCTAGTCACTACTCGGCTTATATATGTGTTTTTTTTAATAACACTTTATTTTTATTCGATAATAAAAGTATTTTTGGACTAAGTTTGCACAT